CCCCCCCCCCCCCAACCCCTCCTCCCAGAATCCCACGGGAGCCATCTACCCTAGAGAGCTGTGAGTGCACGTTGCGGGTACCCTGCTCGTCACGCACGCTAGCCAGCTCACTCTGACGCATCCCCGCCCCGCACCGCACCGCGCCCCCCACAGCGTCATCGAGCTGGCCAAATTCGCAGCCAAGCACGACTTGCACCTCCTTTCCGACGAGTGAGTGGGAGGGGGATCCTGTGCTTGTAGCACACGCATCGCCCGCTCACGACGCGTCGCTGCCGCCACGCAGAATCTACGCTCGATCATGTTTCCGCACCGAAAACGTTCCCAATCCGCCCGATGTGAGTTGCCGCGTGGCGGCGATGCAGCAAAAAGGTCTCGCGGCGGGCTCACGTGCCCCTCCAACACGCCACGCTCCATGCAGTTCCACTCGGTCCTCACCATGGACCTGGCCCGCGAAGCCAACTTGAATCCCGCCAAGGTCCACGTCGTCACCTCCGCATCCAAAGACTTTTCCATCAATGCGAGTGCAGCAAATGTGGGCTCCGAGACTTGGGCGCGCGCGCGCGTAATCGCTCACACCTCCTCCTCCTCCTGACTCTCCTCGCTCTCGCAGGGATTCCGACTAGGCGTGTTCATCTCGCAGCACAACAAGGAGGTCAGAGATGCCGTTTCGGCACTGGCCGTTGTCGCACAAAGCTCAGCGCCAGCAGGTGCACTCTGGTACCACCTCCTCGAAGATGGTGAGTTGCGCGTGTGCGTGCACATTGAGCTCGCCGCGCCGCGTGCATACGGGATCAAGCAGAACCCCATCTCACGCCGTCGTGCGAAACCCGACTCACATCCGCCGTTGCCGCTCGCTCGCTCGCTCGCTCGCTCGCAGACAAATTTCTCCACTGGTTCTTGACGGAGAATAGGCGACGCTTGTCGATTGCGTACGCCTACGTTTTCGATTGGGCAAAGCACCACTCTTTGCCCGTAGCGCCATCCAATGCGGGTCATTTCCTGCTGATCGATTTCGCCTCTCGTCTAGCATCGCGTTCGGCGAAAGAGGAGGAGCGAATGACGGCAAAGCTCATCAAGAATGGCGTGTTTGTCGCACCCGGCGCGCAGTATCACCATCCCATTCCCGGATGGTTCAGACTGACCTTCTCGATGGAACCGCACGCGCTCAAGGTCGGTCTGTCGCGCATCGAACAGACGCTGGGACTGCAAACGTGGATCGATGCGCAGCCCGACTTGGAGTTTGGCGAGCAAGAGACCGAAAAGTTGTAGATTACGCCCCGCACCCCTTTTTCCCCCCGCGCGACCACGAATACGACTGTTTACGTCTGCTGCGCCCCGAAGTAATTCGTCAGCTTGTTTTTCTGCTTGTTCGCCTCCCTTTTTGGCGACTCTTTGGCTTCGGGCTTTTCGCCGATCTGCATCAGCTTGACGAAGCGGTGCCAGAATGCGTGGGGAAGAATGCCTCCTGATGCCTGCTTGTGACCGCGGGCAAAGGATAGGTGGGAGGCGGAGGGCACGTCGTAGTGCTTGCAGAGATCCGGTAGGAAAGTGTGGTCCAGCGACGCGTACGAGTGCAAAAGCTCGATCAGCGACGGTTCTTCGCCGCTGAGTGGGTGGGTGGATGGGGCGGCGGAGGAGGAGAAGAAGGAAGCGATGATGGTCAGCCATGGAGAAGGGGAACGGGAAAACCGGGAGGGACAGACAGACAGCATTCGATGCCGTCACGCTCCGCTCCGCGCCCTGCCCCGCCTCGCCCTGCCGCCCCCCCTACCCACCGATCTTTGGCTGCTTTGGCGATGCGCCCGCTAAAATGCACCAGCCTCTCGCTCTCCTCGTCCTCGCCCCCGCCCCCGCCCCCGCCCTCGCCCTCGCCCTCGCGCACATCTTGATTGGAGTAGTAGCCCGTATTTGCGCAATATACCGCTTGCAGCTTCTTTGCACCCTTTAGCGTGCCGGACCAGCGCGTGGCGATGCTGGGATGCACTTGGTAGGCCGAGTGGATGAACAGCAGCGCTACGCGACCATCTTTGGAGAATTTCGGCGCAGTGTGCGTGCACCTCTCCGTCTCTTGCGCTACGGCACGACGGCATCGGTGCAAGTGCTCCGCGTGGGGACTCGCTAGCACGCCCGTCAGGTCGCTCGCTTCGAAGAGAGCGGCGTAAGCTGCAGAGACGTTGAAGGAGGGCGTTCGACGCGGAGCGTTGATGGCGGATATCGTGTCCCCTACGCGCTTCTTGCCGTAGCGGGACAGCAGCGCGTCGAGTGCGGGAAAGGGAGCATCCCACTTTACATTTACGGACAAGTCTCCGCACGTGCCCAGCACTGCCAACCAGTCGATCGACCTGACGATGCGCTCCTCCGTGCAGCAGTCTTGCAGAGCGTACCACAGTGGTCGACAAATGACCCAAGTGAGCAGAGCAGATGTGGCCACCGGCTCGTAGGAAGAGGCATTGATCATCAGGCTTCCCTTTGGACCTCCTCCTGCTCCTGCTCCTCCTTCGCCCAGATGATGATGGTCGAATACGGCGCACCGCGCGCGACCTTGTCGACGATCTCGCTCGTTTTGCTCTTGCGCATCGATGCGCTCCTCCCACTGCCAACCTGCCGCGCTACCATCCACCAGCTCATCTCCCGCTCTGCTGCCTTGATCAAGAACGACGATCCATCGCGCCCTCTTTTCCGACATGGCGCGCCTCTCTTGCGAGGTGCCCGGATGACCTGCTCTGGATACGTGGTGGATGGCGATGCGCGATGCGGGCACGCCCATGGCTAGGAGCGTGCGGTGAAGTATGCAACCTGATGCAAGCCCATCCGCATCCTTGTCCGGCACGATGAGGATGGTAGGTGTGCTCGCGCCCGCGCTCCCAAGCGACTCTCGACTGTCCCTCTCCCTCTCTCCC